ATGGCTGTTCAATGATACGCTTTAAAAAATGTGGACGTTTGTTTCAGAGCTCTGAATATGAAATCCACATTACCAGCACTTCCCTGGTGTTTTGTCTAAAAATTCAAAGACTTTTTTTTGTTGAGGGACGTATTGTGTGTGACTCCAGCTGGTTGGTTTGTGATTCCCATCAGCTATGGTTTCCTTCAAACCGGCTGTGACAGATTCTATAGATTGTCCAGTTGACATTGTTTCTGGTTATCTTTGCAACGAAGCTGCACCAAACAGATTTAGTTATACAGGAAAAAAACCCCACTAAAATCTCTTTTAGATTCCTGTTTGTATATGTGTCCATGTTGGTGTGAAGTTAAGCTATTTGGGATGCCATATAACAATTTAAAGTTAGTCTTGTGGGATGGTAAGTTAGTGTGTGCATGTGAGCCTACATGCACGTAAACACGAATGACGTTGTTCTGTGACTGCTTGCAGCTGAAGATCATTTAAATTGAATTGTGCTTTGTGGGTGCAAGTAAAAATACTTCGCAAATGCCAGGAAGAATAATAGTTATGTAGTGATCATGTTTTTCTAAATATAAAATAATAGCAACACTGTTTTTTCTCCATGAGAAACAACAGTAGTGGTGACTGGGGGATGGAAAAATAATTTATGTAGAAGCAAAGTGCTTTTGTTCTAAGAGAAACATACGTATGTCCACTGACAGATTTTTCTTTTGAATTTGCATCAGAGATGAGCATGCTCAGTTTCTGGTGGTTTTATATATATTGCAGTTAAATCCTCTATGAGCATTTTTAAGTGGGTTTCTTTCCCATGTTCTCGGTTTTCCATAGGTAAAATGGGAATGACAGTGACCTCCTTTGTGCTTTGAAAGTACTGCTGAGAAACATTAGATAAGAATTGCGTATTATTATACAAATCATTCCAGTTCGATCCATCTCTGCTGACCTTTTCCATCCATGCAATAAGACTGCCGTGACTAGGCGGCTGATGAGTCCCATTGTATTCAGCGTATCACTGTAGGCACTGCTGTTTTTCAGTGCAACATAAGGCAGTGTGGTCTTGTTTGTGCCCAAGTGATGGGCGTTATTAAGAATTGGCATTTATTTGGAGTTTGATCATGTTTAACACCTTTACAATTGCTATGTGATAGAGTATATATAATTAGTTTGGTGATATTTCAGCTTTAAGTTGAATATTGTTTAGATGATCGACAAACAGCTTCCTCCTACTTTTTCTATGCTGTTTTATAAATAAGACTTGAAGAGATTGTTCCTGTTGATGCTTGCTTTTTTGTAAGACTACCTTGCCTTCAAAACTTTAGAAATTACCAGCTCTTCAGCTAACACAGCTGCACTAACCTTGAAAATTTGGTGTAAAATACAGCTAGTCATCTTAGCGAGCAAGTGCCTGCTGTCTGAGCTGGTTGTACTTGTGTTGGCAGTTTCCAGTTTGTGGTGGTGTTTTTATTGCGCTGGGATCAGTCCTGGCCAGCTCCAGGTCTTTCAGTGGCAACTGTGTCCCACGGATCTGCGCTGCCACTCCATGAAGGCCACGGGCAGGACAGGATGCTCTTGGAAGTTGGATTTCTCTTTATTTAGAGAAGAGTAGTGACACTGGTGATATTGACTGCAAAATCTGTCTCTTCAGGTTGGGGTGGTCTCTTTGGAAGCTTTGGAAACACGTTAACTTTTTGCAGTAACTAACTGAACCAACTGTCATGTTTGCTGTGAAGAGAGATGGGAATTTGGAACAGTTGAAGTCACATGAGTATCTGGACTATGACATGATTTTTGAAAAAAAGAAAACAGAAGGGAGGGAATATTTTATTCATAAGTGATAAAACTTTCTGTTTACTGGTTTTTTTAACTGCTGACACACAGATGACCTCTTATTGTGAAAAATGTGGTTGCTCTTTCCTTTTGTCCATGGTGGATGAGAGACCTTACTCATAAACTAGTCCCTTTCCATCCTATCTGTGTTGAAAAGTCTACACATTGACATATTTGTACTTACCCACAAAGAAATTTAAAAGGAAAGACAAGGGCAGGGAAACATGGAAAACTTTCTAAAGATCATTTTGACACTGCTGCTGCCAAACGAGGGCATTTGTGTAGGGATCAGAAGGTGAAGATCTTTCCTACTGACAGAAACTAGCGAAAAAGACTTTTAAACATGTCATATGTGTTTGTCTTTTTTAAATTCCAGATCAACTAATTTGAACAACTCATTAATGGTGAGTGCATACATGTAAATGAAGGCACAGTGCAGCAGTAGCTCTTAATTAGTGTTTTTTCCAGTGAATTTGGTGGTTGTATGTAACTTTGGCCATGTGTGTTGTATTTTTAAGCTACGGTTTTCAGGGAGCCTGCAGATGTGTGTGAGGGGAGGTATATACATACATACGTTGGAAACTATTCAGTGCAAATAGATGACAATCTACAGGCCACGTGTTGAGAAAGAAACCAACCATGTGCACAGCGATGGATGTGGGACAGTGGGCAGAGGCCTACGTTTGACTGACTGTGCACCAGCAGTGCTGATCGTACGGTACAGTAAGTCTGACACGGCTCAAACTCGCGTTGTGAAACATGGCGTTCCTGAGCCTCTTGCAGGCCAGGAAGCGTCGCTGGAGATGACTCTGATGTAGCCCTGTGGTAAGAGAACTGTAAGCCAAATGCTGGCGTTTCAGAATTCCACTGCACTTTGCCAGGTGACCTTATGTTGTCAGCACCAGAGACAGTAATTTATTTCTTTACCCTGGTAAGTAAAGGGACAAGGAGAAATAGCATGAGAGCTGATCTTGGACTAAAAAGGATCAAAAGTTTCAGCTGCAGCAGAAAAGAGGAAAATTTCTACAGAAGTAGTGGGAAGTGACAGGCACGTCATTGATGACAACAGCCTGCAAGGAGAGAGGAGACTAGGTTTTGATGAGAATATTTTAGCACGGTTTAGCAAATCCTGGGCAAAATCCTGTAGCAGAAATAAAATTGACAAGTAACTGGCCAGTTTAGAGAACTATTTTGAGCTCAAAATGGGAACACGTATATGTCAATCATGACTTGCTGTTGTCTTCTGCTCTCTGGCACTACCTCACAAAAGGTGCTTCATAATAGAGCAAGGATTTACTGTGGGGTGGGTTTGTGAGTGTGTGGGTTTTATAAGGGTTTTTTTCTAGGTGAGTTAGATGACTGAATAAATCATTCAATTTATTGAATAGAGAAGAAGCAAGCTTCTTCTGAAGATGTTCTCAGATACAGGTCTGCCTTTTGGCCAATGAATATTAAGTAGTAGTGCTACTCCAGATGCCAAAGGAACTTACTCAGAACATTGGAACATCCTTGTCTCAAATCGTAAATATTTGTCATATCTCTGTTCATTTTTTATAAAGGTGAGACTCTACGTATGTCTACATCTTTTCTAGTTCTGTGCTGTAGCTACAGAAGATCCTTTTTTAAGTATTCTTTTTCTCTCCTTTATGTTGCTGCTGCTTTGTATTACAGAGAAGTCACGCTGTTGAATTTATGATTTTCCAGTTACCTCATGGCAGAACATAGGTGTATTAAAAAAACAACCAACCAAAACCCACAGTTCGAGACCAAGTGAGAAAAGTGGGCAGTGGAGGCGAACAGGTTATACGAGAAAAGACCAAGGAGCAGAAATGTCTAACACTGCTGAGTCAGCTTGGGACTGTCTGGGCTAAGCTGAATGTTGGCCAGCTGCTGTGGAAGGAGGGCAGGGCAGGGCGGTGGTGAGGGCTGGTGTCTGCGCTGTTCTGAAGGACCCGGTCACCTCAGATGACTTCTCTCCGCTAGTGCCAGAGAGTGTAAGGAGCTCTTCAGGAGCCAATCCTTGTCCTTACAGCTCATGACCCCAGCTAGACCCAAGCTGGCTCTGGATTATGAGGCAGTGGCAGCTCTTCCTTGTATTTGATTCTGCCTCCAGACCCATCACAGTCATTCCCCGTTTTGAGCAGGGCTGTGTATAAGGATGGGGGCAGGTATGTGATTGATTCCCGGCTCTCTTGCTTTGAGACTGTCAGAGAGACAGGAGCCGCTGCTGCCACAATGTCAACAGATAAGTGCGTTCACCACTTTGAGTGGCTTGTGTAAAACAGTTTGAACACTCATGGGCTAATGGTAGTGCTGCATGACAGTTTTGATAAAGACATTAAGTCTGAATAATCAAGATTACAAGATAAAATTTGGAGCAGAGGAAGAACGGCAGCATTTGTGAGGCTCTCAGCATAGAGCCGCGCTTATCTATGTGAAGGCAGGATGAGTTAGATCTGTAAGCAGTCTGGGATCACACAGGTGCTAAACATCTTGGGATGAGAACGCACCGGGTTCCAGATGGCATGGTTGGCTTTATCTTGGCATCCAGCTGCCTGTTCTCTCTGGGTCAGTTGTAAAGGCGTCACTTACTCCATCTGTACGGTGACGGGCTGTGATAGGCTTACTTCACTGGTGTTTACAGAATACTTCAGTATAGTCAAGGAATGGTTGAGTGTAGGAATGGTTAAGGCCATGAAGATATATGGATACATATTTTGTACGTGTGCTATGATTCTAAATAGGATTTGTATGCTGACTTCTTTCTAGAAGTGTGCTCTTAATTTAACTTCTAATGCTCAGATATGGCAGGCTGTGTGCTCTTTGTTGTAGGCAAGAAGAAATTGTTTCTGGAAATAAAATGCTAACATGTAATTTTAAAGATAAAATAGCGAAGGTGTTTGTGAGGTGTCCTTGTGACATTTGCTAAAAGGTCTGGAGGCTGTTATGTGAGAGTGTGTTTGCAGTGTACGAGACAAAACAGTTAACCCGAGTCCAGAGCGTTAAAATGATGTGAGAATTTCCCAAAGTGTTATTCATAGGTTACTAAGGAAGTAATTTTAAACTCTCTTTTACTGCTTTTTTAGGTAATATTTCAATAATCACATTACCAGTTTCCAGCACCAATTCCCCAACTAAGATTTTGCCAAAAACCTTAGGACCAATCAATGTGAATGTTGGACCCCAAATGGTAAGTTTTGCAACTCCGGTGGTGCTCCCTTGTGTAACTAGCTCTGTGACTTCCTGTTGATGTAATATGGAAATGCGAAAAACAAAGATGTGAACAGTGCTGGGAACTTGCTGCTTCCTGCCTCAGCGCAAAGGCTGCCGAAGCGCCCCACCTGGTTGGAAGGGTGGTGCCGTGTGGGTACCGCACGCTTGGCATGCCAGAACTGCCAGTCCCAACAGCCATCTGGTATGTGACCTTAGAGGATACTTGACTTCCTGGCTTTGCATGGAAAATGAAACAACGTACCAGTCAACATTTTAACTATTACTCAAAAGTGTATTAAGAAAAAAAAAAATCTCATTAAGAATGGTACAGATACTCTTTGAATATTTTGAGTCATGTTCTCACCAGTAAATCTCCATCATTGCCGAAGACTAAATGTCTCGGATGAGTCACTAGAGATTTTACTTGTTGAAACTACTCTTCTTAAAACTGTCTTTTCCTGTAAATGATAACTGTATGTGAGTGTATCTTGCTGTTTCAAGGATTTTGCATCTAATTTTGAGAAAAATTTTCAGTTTTCTGGTGGCCAGAGAACTAAGTAGGCAGTACAGTGAACAGTTTCTAGTAACCTGATGCCTACTTGCCAAGCCCTCAGCCTGAGTACAAGAACCATTTGATGTCTTTTCTAAATAATTTTCGCATCAGCAGTTATTACTGTTCTTCAATGGCTTTTATCCCAGTTGGACAGATGGGCACAAGCATTGCAGCCAGGCCCCCCGAGCTTCATTCTCCACTGTGTAGAGCTCTCCGTCAGAAGTACTGGCCATGAGCTGTCTGCCAGAGCATAGTGTTCCTCAGTGTCTCGGTGCTGATGCAAGTATTGCTGGAGCATGTGCCCTGTAGCCTTTCTCTACAATAGTCCTGCTAAAAAAGATATATTTTTTGAATGCAACAAATAACAGCCAAGAACAGGGGAGAACAGTCAGTTAATGCAGTTCCTACTCTTACAAGTGACTTCTCAAGCCCCTGCTTTTGGTTTAAATGAACCCTAGTTATGGTTTAGGTTCTACAGCAGGTAGAAGTTGCAAAAACTACTGCATGGTGTGAGACACAGATTCTGTTTTCTGTAATTTGTATTCTTATTTTATTTTAAAATAATTCTTTAATTATTATTTTATTCTGCTGCTTTGCAAGGATAGATCTGTATTTAGAAAACATTTTCTTATTAAATAGCCATTAACACTGGCCTCCTAAGACATGCAGCGTACGGCTGTGTTGTGTGCCAGACCTTTTAGAGAATGTTCACAAGTTCTTGATAGTGGGAACGTTGGCACTCCTTCGGCATCTCACCTGGGTTAGCAACACCGTGCTGCCGTGAGCAGGTTTTGGTTTTATTTAACCTCTGCAGTTACAGCCCTTGCAGCTGCTCCAGGTCCCTCAAACCAGCACACAGCCCTCGGGATCAGTGGAGCGGGCTGTTGGCTGCACGGTGGCCGTGGGTCTGAATCCCTTGGGGCTGGGCAGTGCCAGGGTGAAATCAGCACAGTTTGCTGGCTGGATGCTTGCATGTGAGTGTTTGTTACAGGTTCTTTAGATTCAGTCTGTCGGTGTAAATTTAACAGCCTATTATTGATAAAACGTTAGTGCTAATTAGAGGGATTTGACACGTCCTACAGGTGCTCTTATTTGCTAAATAAGGGTGTGGTTTTCTTTTGTATTCTACGCAGTGAATTTATGTGATTACTTCAGGCACACTGGAAAAACGTTTGCTGTTAAGATGGAATTAGTCCTCTGCAAATACCGTGTAGCATTTTTTGTGAAAGCAAACATTGAGTAGTAAATTTAAAAGTGACACTGCAATAGCATTGGTTTGTGTACCCGTGACGTTGTGTCCCTGCGTCCAAAACTTGCAGCTTTAACAACAGGCTGTAGACAGGTGGATTTTTGTGCCTGTGCAACTGCCACATGTGCCTGCCATCGAACAGGGCACTACCCGAGCGGCGTGGCTGCCATGGGAATGGGGCTCCTTGGAGCGGGTGCTGCTGGTGTCCATCTCCACGAGATGGCACCAAGGGATAGAAAGATATGGGACAGGTCGGTCTTGGGAACACCCGAACATGATTTTGCCACCTCGGTTCATTGTAGTGGCTGTCACAACAAAATTATGAATTCAGACGTAAGATACTCTTTTCTGACACATTTGATCTATGATTTATAAGACATCAGTAGAATGATGTGAAACCTCAGAGAGGGTGCAGTGTGGTGAAACGCAGTTCAGTATGCAAAATATTTAAAATCTCTTCCCCTTGGCATATGTCTGCCATATGCTGCCAGAACCATATGCTTACTGCAAGTAAACATTTTTTATAGTGGTGCAAGAAATTGAAGCAGAAAGTTCCTGGATTGGATTGATGTTTAATTGAAACACTGTATCACTGATTCTCACTGGTGTTACACCAGTGCTGAACTTGAGCAAGCTTTTGAAAATTAATCATTCTATCACAAAACGTTTCTGACTTTAAGCCAACGTAGCTGTAAGCTGATAAAAGTCGATGCCTTTCCTGCGCCTGCATGCAGTGTGTAAAGCAGCCGGAGGGCTTTTGTTCTCCAGTATCAACCAGTCAGTATCTAACTTGTACCTGTGTTTTGGTTTTCCTAAATTTCTGGTTTCGCTTGCTTCTGTCAAGCTATCCGCTTGCAAAAATAAGTAAGATAAATTTATGTCTTTAAGATAAAAAATACATAAATGTAGTGATGGTGTAGTGTCAGGAGGGATGTGAAGTAATGCTCATTGAGCTACAGAAATGGAAAATTCTTCAGATACCATTTTTTCTGCTTGTTTTAACAATATTGACAGATACCAAACAAAGTATCTGCCACATACTTACATGGGTCTTGGGTAAGTTTACTAAAGGAAACTACAAAGTTTAATACAGTAGGTACTCAAAATATCACTAACAAATGGAGGTAAGTAAAAGAAAGTTTAAGCTATATGAGTAGAAAGTATTGTCCAAGAAGCTTTTGTATGAATCTCACCATACTGGAATCAAAACAATTTAACATGTGCCTAATTGTAAAGATTAACTAATTAATACTCTTTCATTTTTAAGTACTATCTAAATTCTTCTGGTGAACTACTTTAAAGAATGAACTTAGATGTGATTAAAAAATTGAGACCAAGTGTCTTAGTGTTAACAGCCATTGTACATACAGTTTCCCCAGGTTTGAGCAGATGTAAATTCTGTCTATACTGCACAGACTGTACATTTAATTCCATAGGTACAATGTTGTACTATTAGCTTGCTGGCATGCTGTGAGATCTTGTGAATGCTAGAAACTGCAGGGAGTATTTTGCCTGCAGTTCAGATTGTCTTTGGTACCAAAGACAGACAATGAGAAGAGGCAAACCCATTGCAAAGGAGGCTTTATTGATTACAGAGGATTGCCTAGACAGACGTACTCTGGAAGAAACAATTAGATGTGTATAGGTCTAGATCCTATCTGCTGTACCTAGTAATTATTTCTATTTGTCTAGATCTTGTCCATATGAGTAATACAGTCATATGGTGCAATTAGTAGAAAACTTAACAGCATTGTAATTTCTTTAATGTATGAAGATCTTCTGATGGCATCTCTTCTGTATATTTTGACTGCAGCTTGCATCTGGTACAGAATTACTCTTTTTTATTAGTACTGTGCTTAGTATGAATTTTGGGCTGTGGTAACCTCCGTTTTCTTAAGAGAGCTGTGTTTTTTTTATTTCTAAATTTCACAGATCATAAGCACATCACAAAGACTGACCAATTCAGGGAGTGTTCTGATTGGGAGTCAATATAACCCAGCTCCAACAATGGTCACACAGACACACATAACAGAAGCTTCTGGCTGGGTCCCAGGGTAAGATTTTGATTTTATTTAAAGATATTTGAGGATCTGTTCTGATTTTTTTCCTTCATATATGCTGTTGTATCTATACGTTGGCTTATGGCCTCTAGTTCTTGGCACAACTAATAGCCTATTGTGCACTTTTGAAGTCTGGAGGATGAGAACACAGAAGTACAAGCACCAGTCACTTCACTGTCTGTTTTAATTTTGATTTATGGCAGTATCTGTTTCTTTGTGAAAATGGAGAGTCACAAATTCATGAGCCCTGTTAAAAGAAGCCTTTATTTTTTTCGTAAGTTCATGCTGTGTCCAGGTAGCTTTGCTGTTGAGTGTATCAGCAGGTCCCAACAGGGGGAGAGACTGTCAAAAACACTTCAAGAGGCATTTAAGAATAATTTTGCATGTAATCAGTGTCATATTCTTATTACTGTTTTACAGCAGCAACAAGTTTTCATGGAGTTCTGAGGTGCTCCAAAGTAATATGACTCTCTTCATCTCTTCTAAGGAATTCTGGTCTTTACAGTGTTTCATTATATATATATTTTTTTTTATACTAGTACTGCTGAGCTTATCTGTTTTGAGACAGCTGCAGTGCTTTGCCTCTGAAAAAGTAATTTATTTCTGTATCTGGGTTAATTTTTCTAAACAGGTGATGAAAGTCAGTAGTAGCTTTCCAGCTTTAGAGATGGGAAAATGGAGCATCTAGGACATAGCAGAAATGGGAGTATAATGTTGGTACCTTGACTTTCTTCATTCTGTGCTGTAAGCAAGGACTGTCATAGGCTTGTACTTCCCAGTCGCTATATTCCCACCATCGAGTCAATAAACTGCATGACCAGTTGAGCAGTTTTTAAGCTTGATTTTTCTTTTTGCTGAGTATGTGTTTATCTCCTCAGATATCTTTTGAATCTATTTAGTTCTGACTTTATTTCAAAAAGGAGTTGTCAAGGAATACTTTGTTTCTGCAAATTTTGTGAAATGGGAGGCCAGGCAGAAATTATTTCAGTAGCCAGAGGAGAGAAAAGCTATAGTGTCTGTGCACAGTTTGCTAAAACAGAATCAATGTCCATGAGCTTTCTTAAGCTCCATCCAAACCCAGGTGATGGAGATTCCCAGAGTTGCAGTGCATCAACCTTGTTTACCTATCAGGGGTTACTCAACTTGAATATCTGCAAAGGGATCAGGAGTGTGGGGGTTTTGTTCAGCCTATCTTTGGGCATTCCTTTCCACTCTTCCTTCTCTTCTGCCTTTCTTTCCAGTGTTCTGTTTTCTTAAATGGAGTCAAAAGTTTGAAAAGCATTCTTCTATTTTCATGTTTTCTTTAGTTTGTTACTGCTGACAGAACCAGGCCTTTTTTTGCAAAACAATAGATGTCTCTGAAACACACTATCGAACCGAGCTGTAAAACTGCCTGACGCGGTACTGCCGCCTCTGGAGCCTGGTTCCAGCCCAGTGCGGCCCCTGCCTGGCCCTGCTGTGCTCAGACCTGGGTTAAGCACCATGGGCAGGATCCCGCCGGCAGAAGGCTGGATGGGTTCTGGATTGCACTCCCGCACACGGGCAGCCTTTCGTGGCACAGGCACCCACCCACCACTTCCATTCAGCTCCCTGCGTAACATTGTCAGGTCCCAAATATACTGATGTTGTTGGTTGAAATATATAATATTATTCTTACCTAAGTTTGAATTGTTTTTCCTTAGGGACAGGAAACGGACTCGAGAATTTATAGAATCAGATTTTTCAGAAAGGTGAGTATTATCGAACATATATTTTATGTATAGAGTTATACCTGGTTTATTGCTTCAGATCTGCCCTTCAGAGAGATGGGTGTCCAGTTCCCACTTTCACTCCTCCACATAGAAGCTATGTTGTATGCTATTCCTTGTAGTTATAATTCATTACTCTTCCTGATTAACATATTTGCTGTTACAGATGATACTGGAAGTTGTGAAAAACAAACACAATGCATCTTCAGAAACAGAACTGTTCTAGTTTTCAATGTGACAAATACTTGTAAACAGATGATCTTTTCCTTTGCTTCCAAAACTTCTTTAAATGCATTCAAGGTGGTTTTATTTGTTTACCAGTCAGGGGTTACTCAACTTGAATATCTGCAAAGAGATCAGGAGTGTGGTTTTTTTTGTTCAAATCTTCCGGTATTCCTTTCCACTCTTCCTTCTCTGCTGCCCTTCTTTCCAATGTTTTATTTTCTTAAATATATTCAAAATTTTGAAAAGCATTCTTATATTTTAATGTTTTCCTTAGCTTGTTACTGTTGACAGAACTAAGCCTTTTTCTGTAAAATAACAGATCTCCCTGAAACATATTATCAAACCAAGCTGTAAAACTGTAATTAAAAAACCCCAGCAATACAGCTGAGCTTTTTAAAAGCTTCTGTTGAAATATGCATCCAAATCTAGCTTGTGTGATGAAATCAATTGCTCCTGTTTTTTCCATTACCATTATTTAAGGTTGTGCTTTTCTGGGGGAAGAGAGTGAATGGAAGATAACCGTGACAGTTACTAATTTGGCACCATAAAAACCAATGAGTATGTACTTACTCTCCATAAAAGAGATTCTTGTATCTCAGTCTTAACTGTGGTGGCACAGACACTAAACTTGGTCACTTGGAGAATTAAGGGATCTTTTGCTGTATTGTAAATAGGGATGTCTGAGCCTGTCTATTTTAAGCACAACCATGAGAGTTCCCTGTAAATCTGGCTTCCAGGGACATAAACAGCCTGTGAGGTTTTCTCCCTTTTTTTGATTGTTCTTTTGTGAAACTACCTGGAGATGAATTACAAATCCAGTTTTTTACACATCTGCCCAGTAGCATGTGTTCCAATACTATCAACGTAGAAATCGCCGAGAAAGGGCTCCCGTGTACTTTTTTGCCAACTTGTAAGAAACAAGAAACATTCAAAAAAGCGTAACAGTTTTATTTTTCATTCAAGCAGTACGTAATGTCACGAGTCCTGATTCCTGTTGCAAAAGGTAGACCTTTTGCTGTGTAAAAAAGTAGCTTATTAAGATTCAGTGTATTAAAATAACCACTTTTCTCCCTTCAGTAAGAGAAGCAAAAAAGGAGATAAAAATGGGAAGGGTCTCAGGCATTTTTCAATGAAAGTATGTGAAAAAGTTCAACGTAAAGGAACAACTTCGTACAATGAAGTCGCTGATGAGCTGGTATCAGAATTCACAAATTCTAACAGCCACCTAGCTACAGATTCGGTAAGCAAATACGTGTTGAAATCTGTAATACTATTACAAAATTGTCTGGTTTATCGTGGAATTCTGTTCCTTCCATTTCTGTGCTGTCCTGCCATGTTCCATACTTTCCTTCACTTAACTACTTCCCAAATATGAAGACTTACCCTCTCAATTTAAAAATACATAATTAAAATGAAGATTTGAACTCCCTCTAAATTATAAACAAAATAGATTTCTTTTGGCAGAGTTCTCTATTTCAAAAAAATGCTCCTCTTGTACCCACCATAAGTGGCCCAGTCAGGCTTTTCAACTGCTTGCCACGATGGGAATTTTCTGCACAGAGGTGTCAAGCAGGCCTGAAGGTTCCATTTGCGACCAAACACCTCATGTGATATCAGGTGGTAGCACAGCTGAAGGCATCATGTAATACCACTCTGACTTAAACTGCCGTTTTGGCTTTTTACCTTCTACATATCTATGACAGATGTGTTTGATTTTTTTTTTTCCTTTTTGAGTTCTGTTGCAATTAATGCTGCATTGTTTTCTTAGCAGGCTTATGATCAGAAAAATATTAGACGGAGAGTTTACGATGCCCTTAATGTCCTGATGGCAATGAACATAATTTCAAAGGAGAAGAAGGAAATCAGATGGATCGGCCTTCCTACAAACTCAGCTCAGGAATGTCAGAATCTAGAGGTAAAGTGAGGTGGGAAATTCTGTGTGGTTCATGGGCTGTGATAATGAAGCTGCTCTACTCTAGAAGAGGGTTTTTTCTCAATTTGAACCTCATTGATTTTGATTCATATAAAATGAATTTATATTAAAATATAACTTTGGATATTTTAATAAGCTGAAAGAATATGTTTATTTCAGTTTTATTTAGTATACGTTACATTAAGTTTAAAAAACCTGTTTATCTTACAGAAATAGACATTGATTAAATCAGATATAACTTTTAAGATTGAAGTCTGTAGTAGCCTGAATTAAGCAGAACAAAGTCAAAATAATTTGTGGTGCAGCTGTCCTTACAAAATGGTATACATTTGAAAGGAGATCAATTTTCCTTTAATGCATGTACTTGGAAATGCCATTCAAAGGAAATTAAATTGAAAAATAATTCTTGCTAGGATATCAAATACTAGTCATGAACTGGCAGGGGGGAAAATGACGTTTTACTTAGGTTATTTCCATGATTTTTCCAGCAGGCTAAGAGTTACCATGTTTTTGCAAGGATGCCAAAATTTATATGCACAAATAAATACATGCTTCTCCTTCAGGCCAAATGCTCCGTAAATAAAAAGCACAAGTTACTGTATTTACGGCAGAGTTCTGTAATGACTGCCTGTAAATACATTTTAATAGCTACTATGTGATACTTGTGACTTTAAATATCTTAAAATGTTTGTAGGGTACCTCTCCAGTACAAACCAGTCTTTTTTGTGCAGGTTCATTTACATGAATTGTCTTTCTAAATGTAGTAAGAAAAAAAGCTTTTACTATCCTTCTTCATTAGAGCAACTCGGAAAATACATCCACCCAAGGAGTATCGGGCATATAATGCCCAATCGTTATAGTCCAGGATTCTTTTTTTTTTTTTTTAAATTATGGTTAAATCTACATTTTACATGCATTCATGTGAATGTATTATCTTCAGTATAGGTTACTGTTACAAACATGGAACTGGAATTTCATTGTCATCTACAATGATCATATGCTATTCACTCTTTCAGGCTCTAATTATTTACGCACAAAATGGAAGCCAGGCATATTTTCTTAAAGTGTTGCTTCCTATGACATAATAGAAAATAAAGCTGCATTTTCATGGTGTGAAAATCAGAATTCATTTTGCTTCTAAAGCTGTATAAAGCGCCAACTCTTCTTATGGTGTAATTCTGTAATAAGATTACTAGTACAAAAATGAGAAATCAGTACAAAAGCGTTTGTTATATAGAAACCATGTCTAAATTATATCTTTATTGGTTTTAAGAGTTATATTTGTTCCAGCAGAGAAAATAGTCTACTGTGTTCTGAAGGATGCAGTTTAAGATTAAAGGGAGGGGACCACCACAAAGCAACACTGTAAATAAAATAGGGAGCGTTTAGGCCAGCTAAATTTTAAAAGACTGCATCATTTAGCTTCAGTGGTTGAATGAAAAGGTAATATTTTTGGGAGCAGTGTTCCGGTGCTGGCATCAACAGGATGATGAGGAAGAATACCTTATAAATGTGATGACTATTGTCCAATTCTTAGTATTGCCCCAGAACACAACTGAAACACCGTTGGTTGTATCTGCAGTGGCAGTAGACATCCAGCACTACTACTGTCCCAAACACTGTGTGTTTATGTTGAAGATAGCTTTGCCCCATCAAATGACGTGAGCAAAACTGTTGCAAGAAGTGGATTCCGCGCTCATGTAGGAAATGTTACCTCTACCCCCTTTTTACTGCTGAAATCTTGTCAGTTTTATCAAGTCTCAAATGAGTAGTCCAACAAAACGCAGAGGTCACTGGAAAGATGCAGGTGATGATCCTGAGCTCAGTCTCCACAGGTTTATGTCTAGTGGCTTGTAGCTGGCAGAACAGTAGAAGGGAAAAAAAAACAACAAAGCACCACCTCAGGCAAGCATTTAATGTGGTGCTAGTCGGCACTCAGCACACAATACAAAAGAAGAGGAATGGGTGGGCAAAAGAATACAGTGTCTTGTAATGATTGATTCTTTACTGGAATTAAAATTGTTGTCCAAGAAAGAAATGACGGTTTGTCAGACCTGTGTTATGGAGAAACTCATGTAACTATGCGATTAGTCTGTTTGAAAAAGAAGCAAATATATGGCAAATGCATATGGCCAAGAGACTTGTGCAATGTACTTACTGTGCCATGGAATTCTCCACCATTTACAAAGAAAGTATGGATTTTGCCAATGGTGCTAGCACACTGACGTAACTGTAACCCTGTTTAGTTAGCCAGAACAGACAAGGTAACTAAGTAATCATCTTGATGCATTTACATTTATGCTTTAAGATAGAAAAACAGAAGCGGATTGAAAGGATAAAACAGAAGCGAGCCCAACTACAAGAACTGCTGCTGCAGGTATATTTAATTTTATTTTTTTTTTTCTATAAATGCAGTTATCAAGTGTGAATCTGACATGTTAGAACTTCTGAAATTATTTCTAGATGTATTTAGTAGCTATGATTATACTAGGGAAGAAAAGCTTCATGCTGGCAACCCTTCTGGATTCTAGTAGGGGAACCCCTTACCCTCACTTTCTGGTTCATTTTTACCTGTTGTAAAACAGTGTGCAGCATCTGCGTGCCACAAGGTTTTTTAAGTGTTCTGCTGAGGCTTTGTCAACATTAGTGGGAATGGGAACAACTCATGGGTCCCCTTTGTTGATTCCAAGTCCTCCCAGAGTTACCTTCTCTAAGTAGTCCTTATTGCAAAATTTCTCTTTGATTCTAAGCTATGAAATTTACAGCTGAACTTGTGTAAATGTGTGCAGAGTTGTTTCGGGGAGATGACCTTTCTGGATCCTAAAAATGGAAGACTGGCAAATCCAGCTCTCTTACATTCTGACATGCACCTTTGAGATGACTAGAGTTTTGGCTTTGATTGCAGAAATATATTTAAAATGCATCTTTGCTTATAAAGTAACATTTTATAAATAGTTATGAGCATTCTTAAGTGCTTTGGTCTGTGCAGACTTTCAGTAATTTAAATGCAAACAGGTGATAAGGGTCTATTTTCTTCCTGGTGCAACTGTATTGATACAATTTTCATGTAATTACATATGCACTGAAACTTAAATATTTGATGCTTCTCCTTTTTTCCATCATCAGGAACAGTTTCTCTACTTAGGGCACAATTCTGATCCTGTCTGACATAATAAATTAGCAGCTTCTCTAAGAGTAATGTGAAATTATCCTAGTGAAAAAAGGCAACTCGGGCCCTCCTAATTATTAGTCTGAAAATGACAGAGTTGCACTCCCTACTATCTACAGCTGTCATTATTTCCTTGATTATGTTCACTGGCAAATGGTTTACCAGTCCTTTGAGACTCATTCTGTCTATCCATCTTCCCCTTAAGGGGAATAAGTAGTGCCTCAAAGTGGGTAAGTACACAGACTTCCAATCCCTCAAAAAACACTTCCTAAAAACGCATATTTTCATACACATGCAGTCAGAGATACAAGAGTTCAGTAGAGAGCGAGTGATACCACAAATCTGTTTAACAACTTTCAGGGGAGAATTTCAAAACTAACTCTTTTGAGGAGAGAAAAGAGGGTGATGGATGAGAAGGGGAAGAGAATATGGATCATGGGAAGTGGGGGAATGCTGCCATTTCTGTTAACTTTTGTTTCACTATAACTAGCTCTGAGTCTGAGGTAATTACACACATCAAATACCAGAGACGGCCTCTGACTCCAGTGCCTTTTCATAGAGGAATGGGGAAGCCTTCTCCACCAAGCTTTATCACTCTCTTCTGGTTTCTTCTCCAGGGATTGGGGTGGGGGGCATAGCCGTTAGGATATGTGTGAAAAATTTGTGTTGTAACTTCTGTTCCTGGTGAGCTTCACTAGTGCAAAGAAGAAGTCAGGCCACAACTTAACTTTCTGACAGAAAATTACTGGAGGTATTGAGTTAGGAAATAAGAGCTAAGAAGTTCCACTTCCTGGGCATTCTGATGTCTTCTCTTTTATTGTCAGTGATCATTTTTTCTTTCTTTCTCCAGCAAATAGCATTCAAAAACTTGGTACAAAGAAATCAGCAGAATGAACAACAAAATCAAGGCCCTCCAGCTTTGAACTCAACAATACAGCTGCCTTTCTTAATAGTCAACACTAGCAAAAGAACAGTTATAGACTGCAGCATATCAAGTGATAAGTGAGTGTTTATGGAATCAATTTTTAGATTTTTTTTCTTGTGGACTAGAATTTTTCTTTAGAAAAATAGTTTACTAAAAGTAATTATGTATTTGAATTCACTACTGTCATTTCAGGGGGATGTTTTGTTTTTTTTAAAAAATGTTTAATGCAACTGCAGTAGTAACAGGAACAAGTTTATCAACACTTCTTTACAGCCACTAGGTAAAACAAGCTGACTTGTGCTGTTGTAAAAGGCACCTCAGAGTGACGTTTCAGAGAGCGCTCACAGCCCTGGAGAAATAACTGAATGAAATGATATCCAAGGACAGCACTAGCCTTTAACGAAGCAGTAGTGCTTCTTAATTCGTGTTCCTAACATGCCATAAATGTATTTAGTCAGAAACACAAGGTGAACGTAACACAAAGTAACATCCTAGAGGTGGTATAACAACTTTGAAAGTGTCTTTTAAGAGCAAAAAGATTGCACCTAGCTCTTTGAAAGAATAAAAGGAAGGAAATTACCTAGAAATTTGTAGTATTGTCTTTGTAAGCAAACTGCTACAGTTGTCCTCATATTAATAGGAAAATCTTCCACTTACGTACTTCTGTGTGATTATGCATGTCATCCTGTGAAAAATAATAGCTGGAAGTATGAGGCACTGTTTCGTTAACTGTGAATTGGATCACACCTAGTTTATTAGCTGAAAATAGCTGGATTTGCTTTAATACTGTAGATTACAGGTGCCACTCTGTGGTATACAAATCCTGTATTGAACTTCATGTCAATTAGCATACAGCAAAAATAGGCAGTCTCTAGTAACCTAGGCACTAACATGCAAAAAAGCAGTACTATTGAACTTCAATTTTTTGTAGAAAATAAGACCGAAGTCCAGTACATTCGGTGACAGAGCTTTTGGAATACTCCTGTCAGCACTGCAGTTCAGCAAGTTGTGAATTTTGGGATGGATATTGTTTTAGCTTAACTATATCCTCATTTTATAGGCATACTATACAGTTCTTACTGTACTCTTAAACAGGGCTCTATATTTAGGCTTTAAGTCATTAAAAAGTTGAACAGTTTCGTACTGAAACTTCAGAACTGCTGCTTTGAAGTTGCCAGTGTTTAAACTGGTATTTGGGATCTAGAGAAGGGTTAACACACTTCTACAATCTCAAACTATAAGAAAACACTACTGCTAAAACTGAGCACACCAAAACTACCTAATTTGTTGATATTTCAGTTTATATAACCCAGCCTCAATACTACTATCATCTGAAGATCATTAGGTGTACAACCCAAATTAAAAAAAGCTTTTCACTGTGGTTATTATTTGTGCAAGTGACTAGTGGCAGCAGCAGTATGTAGATAAACACTGCCAGAAACTGCTGGTATTTAAACCACTGTTACATCGATCTGCTAAATAAAGCAGCTGGCAAAAGTGGTCTCAGTTTGGAGAACTCAAATTCTGTATTTCATTGGAGAGTGTTTGTGCTGTCTAACCCTATTACTGGTCAACTTGAGTGTTGGCCCTTCATGTGGTTTCAGCCTCAGTTAATAACCCACTGTTGTAATGGGCTTCCATTTTCTTTTCTTCTCCCAAATAACATTTATATAAAGCATTGGTTGGTTGGTATTTATGATGCAGCAGCAGGTGACATTAGAAAGTCCAATGAACAGATAAACTCCCAGCATTAGCTACTCAAAACTATTTATGGAGCATCTTCCAAAAGAAAATAATTGCTTGGAACAGTGGTACATATAAGGGGGATTTAGCATCATGAGGAACATAGGTTTCTGTCTTCTCAGTTTTTTCTTATGCAAGGACAGGCTTCAGACAAAATAGAATGAAGTTTCTTACACGTTAAACAAAGAGGTTATTGGGCAAGGTTTTTTTCAAGTTTGAGAAGGCAGACAGGTGACAAGCAACGTACTGGGAATGACATTTCTGAAGCTGGAGTAAAGAAAAGCAGACCCTTCAGATAAAAAGGAAGAAGTTAAAAATTATGTTGAAAAGATGAGACATCTGAACAAGTAAGTCTCATTTAAACAGGAAAAATGTATTTAGTGCTTCTATGTAAATGCTCTTGATCTTAGGATAAAGAAGAGAGAAACCAGAATACCTAGTTTTAAAGAAGCATTCACACACAACAGACGTATCAGAAACCTGGAAAATTAAGGGTACAAGAGCCTACATGTTTTTTCTAATGTACAGCATTGTATCTCCAATGGCAAAATCTTCCGCACTTCCTATTAGAATAGAGATGTTCTAGAGAAAGAATCGCCTGCAAGAGCAAAAAATCCAAAATAAATTCATTCTTGATCAAACTTGCCATTACCATGGGAAACGGACAGGAACTCTATTGGCCTGTGGACCTGGCTTTTAGCACTAAATAATAAGATCGCGGCACAGTAGATCATTCTATGAGAACAAAAGTTGATTTCTCAATAACAGCCAAAATAATGCTGGGAATTACTAGGGGAAAAAAAGCAAGGAATACAATGTTAAACTAGATGAGTATAGTGCTCTTATCTGGAATACTCTGTGCTGTCTTGTTGGAAAAAGTACAGCATCACCAGAAGAGAGGCACAGAAGGCAGCAACATGACTGAAGCTATGGAAAGGCTTTTACAGAAGGAACAGATGGACTCTTTGGCCTCAAAAAGAGAAGACAGTGGACTCATAGGTGTCTGTAAAATCATGGATGACACGGGGGAATGTGCATAGAGAAGAGCTGTACAGAATTGCTTCTTAAACTTGAGACATTAACAGAAGATACCAGGTGACAAGTTTTAGACAAAAAGAATTCAAGTGTTTTTGTAACAGTCTGTGCAGATCATAGCACTTGATGTTGTGCAAGTCAAAAAGAGGTCATGTCAAGTCCCTGAAAGAAAACCCTCAAATAGCTGTTAATGGCAAAGGTAGACAGGTAGAGGCTGCAGGTTACCAGAAACTGTATTTCTTTAAGATTCTTTGGAAACTTGCAGGGGGCAAAAAGGAGTTGCGTTCCTTTCGAACATCTGGTATTTGACCACAACACATGGGAGGATAAATGCAGAGCTATCCATAAATACAGCCTTTAATCCCGTACCATAAATGCTGAATTCAGTTGTTACTTAGCACACAGCTTGCTGGTAGTGACGTGGTGTGACAGTGGTCTCGCATCCCCTGTTTCTGTAAGCACAGTTGCATGTCTTGAGCTGCACCAGTCTAGGTAGCAGGAGTGTAATTGTACCAGTTAAAGGTATAGTGACACATCTTATTTTCCCTTTTAATGTGGTTATGCTTAAATAAATATAGCTGCACAATAATACCGTATGAGTCACAAAAGAAATGATGCCTGTAACTGACGAGTACACCTATTACAAACAGTGTAGATTTCTAGATGAAAATTTTGTGTCTAGGCACAAAAGATGGAACTTTTCCAAAGTTATTGGATAAGGTATAAGAAAATGAGTATTAATAAAACCTATCAAGAAAATCCATATGTAACACCAGCTTGGACAGCTGGTGACTTTCCTTTTAAAGATGGTTTCTCATGGATGGGTTCCTTTTCCTGGGATAAAGGTTTTGTGAGCACAAAATGAGGCACTGGGAACTAGCCTTATATTGTAGTCCCTGGACCAGTGCTGTCCAGGCTTTTAATAGCCTGTAATCATAGCATTAGGTCAGTCTAGATGCCCCTGCTTTTCTTAAAGCTATATTAAGTTTATATCACTATTTCCGCTTTTATATGCCATGAAAAACATTTTGAGAGTCCTGCAGCAGAAATGGTAAGTTGTGAACGTACAGGACTCTGAACAGACTGCTTTGTGAGCTGCATCCAAACGTGTCAAAAAAGCAAAGTTATACCAAGGAAAATAGGTCAGTTCACAGGAGGAGTGTTGCACATTAGAACAGAAAGTGAAATGCAAAAGAAGCAAAACCAAAATAGTTATTTTGATGCCAGGGCTGCAGGTGACCTTTAAAAGTATTCAGTTTAGTACAAGTGAGGGTTCATGTTTAGTGAAGCCTCCCTCTTCCCCTTTGAATCTGTTTAATGAGGTAGAAAATTTTAGACTTTCTTCCTACAGTGGTGAAGTTACATTAATTGAGAAAGTGCTGTTTTAAACCTTGTAAGCATGCCAGTCACAGAGCAGAAGAGAAGTGTTTGCTGCACCTTTTTTTCTTTGAGAACCCTTTACAGATAACAAAGAATCTAGACACTTCAGTGGATACCAAAAACAAGGAAAAATAGGCAGAAAAAGGTATAGCTGTGCTCTTTTCTAAGCCATCTCACTTTGACTTTTTACATGCAGATTTGAATACCTCTTTAATTTCGATAACGCTTTTGAGATTCATGACGACAGTGAGGTGCTGAAGAGAATGGGAATGTCCTTTGGGCTTGAGGCAGGCAAATGCTCAGCTGAGGACCTAAGGACTGCAAAATCACTGGTGCCAAAAGCTTTAGAAGGCTACATCACAGGTAAGTTAGATGAGACTTGAAATATTTTTCCTGATCAAATTTGTAACATTAGTTAACTGAAGCAAATTTAGTGATGTTAATCTATGTAGGTACGTAACGTTTGAAGTTACATGTGAGCTAGTAGGGTTGGTACATAAACGAGTTGTTTTTACAGTTAACTTTGGAGGGTTTATCATAGTCCTATAAATTTAATTCACACTGATTTATAACAACAAACTTCTGAGTGAGCTGCGTTATGAAGAAATTACTTCTTAAATAACTAAATTGACACCAAGAACAGATTTTCATGGGTTAGTATTAATTTTGAATAACTGTGGATGTGTGGAGGAGCAAACTGGATGAAGGCAGCTCTTTCCAAGTTGAGGAGGACAAGGAAAGAAAAAGAGCATCTTGAACTGGTTGAGTGTAATCCATACGTGACCCAGCTGCATTCACACTTGACTTTTCCTAAGGTAGGTGAGCGCTGCTAAGAATTCTCCGTATCTCTGTCTGTCCGTGTAGACCTGCTCAGTGTACTCTCAGTGCAGGGATGGTAGGCTCTCGTGTGTCCAGTCATTTCTACACTTTTACTTAACGTGTAAAACAGTGAGACTTAGATAACACTTGGCCAGCAGGTGCCATCTGAGAAGTGAGCTTCTCTAAATAAAGCAAGAGGCTCCAAAGAGTTCCAGGACAGGTGTCCCATGCAGAGGCTTTTACCTGCCCTAGTCATACTATTTGAACAGGTCACACTTAAATACTCTCAAACCTAGATCTCCTTCAGTGTTGCATCATTGGACTAGAGCTGCTAAAATTTGTACTCACTTCCTTTAGTTACTGTCAGACTGCATTCTTCTTGCTCTGCCCAAAGCTGAAACTTAGCCCAGCATTTTCTCAAGTTTCTGGAGGGACTTAATCTGTAAAAGAAGTGTTACCCAATGAACTTCTGTATGCAGATCTTCATTTTTGAAGAAAGGGGGAACACAGCTATTGCCCTGACTTCTCTATACTAACTTGGCTTGTCTTGTTTAAATTACAGTAGTATAAAACTCTTTCACACAGGAGGTTGGAAACTTTGAACATTTGACTTAATTTTTTTAAAACTTCCCTAAAGTTTACTCCTTTCTGTTGCCAACATTTAATCTTCATGACAGGATCTTTTAAATGCAGGCTTTATATTTAAAAGGCTATTTTATTTTCCTAAGAAAAATATAGTTAAGTACTCAGGAAGCTGAGTAGGTGGTTTTGATTCTTGATTATACTATGTGAGAGAGTTAAGAATGAAACAGTTTCTTAAAATTTGTGATATCAAAATACTGCTGGATATAAATTAGAATTCAGTTACAGTTACTAAAATTAGTACATTTGAAATGGCTTAACATTTCAGACTACATCAAATGCGCTTGTGTTTACCAACACTTGTGTTTTCCTGGTCCCCTTGTCCTGTGGGTTTTAAAACTACGATTTCATATTTTAATTTTGGTCAAGTTTGAAATTACACAGCAAGTCTTTATAAGGCTGCACTGGTGCCAAAAAGAGAAGTTGAAGGAACTCTTCATTTGTTCCTTGCAGGTTCATTCAACTAAAAATTACTCACCACATGATTTACCGTCGATGCAAAAAGGCGGAAGGAGCAGAACCCACATCTCTTAATAGTGTTGCAGTCTTCAAGGCACTTAATTACTGTCATGTATCAAGGGGCAAATTAAAATTTCTATTTCATTTTAAACTTGCATTATTTTGTCTTTAGAGAATAGAGCTTCTTTACATGTGCCAAAAACCTATCATTATACTATTTACTGAGTAAAACCAGCTTTTAATATACATGTCTAAACTAGTGATTAGTAGTTCATTTTAGTTTGTTTTGAAAAACCTCAGTTACAGCAATGTACTGCTGGTGAGGTTTTTTATTGAAAGCAGTAAGGCAAAACAACTGTGATGTTCCTGTGCAAGTGAGAAACTAGTACTCTCTTTCAAAGAAATTAAACAGAAATGAACAGATTCTAAGATTGAATATTCTTAAATCATGTTGTGATTAGGGTTATTTGCCTAGTAGCAGACCAGCAGCCAGAAACCTATCTAGAATTTTAATCATAAGAAATGCATTGATTTTATTTTTCACTTAAAATGCATTGAGGCAGGTGATGTTCTCTTCAGACATGGGTTGCATTCAGCTGTTTCAGCCTCTGAAAAAATTAGTCCAGGAGTGTAGTTACTAGAGCACATATGTTCATTTTAAAGGTTTCTTCTATCTGTTGCTTGCTACCTAATTACACAACACAAATCTACAGTTAAAGGGTATGAATTGCATAGCAGAGGTTTCTAATGGCAGTAACTGACAAACAAGGGAAACAGATTTAAATGTTTGGCGCAATACTTGGAAAGCCAGCATTTCCCCAATTACATATTTTTGGGTAAGTATAACTTCCCGTTTTAACCTTGGCAGTCTTACACGTTGTTTCTTAAACTGCAAGAGTAGTGAAATGGAAGGCTCATCACCGGTTTCTAGAATTCATGGTTACTTCCATACCTCTCATGATGGCACTTTTAAGTACGCTGGCTTCCATTACCACTATACAAGAAGCACAAATCAAGGTCTCTTATTTGTTCACTGAGTAGATTTATTACAATCAAGATTAAAGTCCTCCCACAATATCTGACTCCATGAACTCAACAGCTGTAGAAACCATCCTGTTCTAATATGCCTTAAGTAGGTAAGTCATCTCCTATGCAGTGTTTGTTTGACCTTAGTCTGGTCTTTTTTTCAGGAAATCACTGACTTCCAAACACTAGCAATAGTTTGTATTGTAATGCTTGCTAATAGGACTGGAGAAACAGTTGGAAGAATCCAAGTTTAAACCAGTTCAATGAAAGAAATTTAAAAGTGACAAAAAAGCCCATCTCAGCTTTTAAAAAATAGCAACTTCTAGTTGCATTAAACGTGCCAAATAATTTGCTTGGAACTGCTGAATTGATGTTGTGTGCATCAAAACCTTATTAGTGTATTTTCTCTTCTGGAAGATCATGTATTTTAGTCATTCTTCAAGTGCTCTCATTTGATAAAAGTGTTTTCTATATTTTCTACAGTTTCATGATGTTTTAGCGAAAAAGTGTTGTTTTTTTTTTTTAATATGTATTTTAAGTACTACATTGGTATGATCCCCAGGTGTCTGCCATTGAAATCAGCAGAAGCTAAGGCATATGAACAGCATATAGAAAAATATTCTATATATCTTAAATGATGTTCGTAACACATTTTTCTCTTGCTTGATTGTCGTAATTGATGCAGACTTCTAAAACTGACATGATTTGACCTTACTCCTGCTTGTTTCTCAAAAGGCAGCAACAGCAGAGGATACAGCAGCTTAACCATAACTTACAGCAGAAGTTAACATTGAGTGTTGCTTTAGCTAAATAGGTAATCCAGAACAAGTGATTGACGTGCAGCAGTCTGCGCTACAGCCACAATACTTGCCAGATTCTTACTATGAAAGGAGCAATGTTGTTTCTAACATGACACACCAGCTTAAGATGGCATCCTGGGGTCACCATCCTAATTACACATTCCTGCCCATTTCTTCATTTTGACACAGTTACTTTCCTCTGCCCTTTTCCGGAGCTGGTTCAGGGTACTAAACTGCACGGATTTTATCTGACAGAGGAGCTTCTGACAACTTAGCAAGTAGAACTATCTGGCTAAGAGCTCAAGCCAGAACAGTTCAAGTGTAACGGAGGGATAGATTGATGGATAAGCAGAAATACACCCCTGATTGAGACAAGCATAAACTCTTGTAGAACCATATCCAAAGTAACATCCTGTGCCATTTAAGCCAGGCATATAATACAGGCAAGTTAATGCAAAACTAAGTCCTACATTTGTCAGTTGAGTCCTTATGCCTAGAAATGAGACTACAGATAAAAAAAAGCAGGAAATAAAAATTCTGAGGCACTAATAGTTGTGGTAACATCTCACTTGTATCCCAGTAAAGCAGCGAGCAGAGGAGCTGAAGATAAAAGAGTACCCATTGAATGAATGAGCTTGTTCAGCTATCAACAATAATCCTATGCAGTGCTTTTGCATTAACTACTAAAGGCTACCAAGAGTATTCCTTTACAGCCTTCTCATGTGAAGTACATATTTCTACCAAGCGTATCTCCTGCAAGATACCCCTAGTTCATGGTAAGGATGCCACTCTTGGATTGGACTGTACCACCTTCGGAAGGTTTTTCCAAGCTGCTTTCCCTTGTTCATAAGTCTAGCTATTAGCAATATATTACTCTGCTAGAAGTAGTAAGTCCTTTCATTGTAGGCAAACTTCTGTTTTGACAGTCCTTTCCAGACTGGAAATAGCTTCTTAAAGTCCCCATCTGTCACAAACTTCCTCTTTTCCCTAGTTTCTCAGAGCCCACTGGAAAATACAATTTAGAAAATAAGGCAATGAAAGTACAAGGCAGGGATATGCATCTATGAATCATCTTTCCACTTTATGTGTAAAATCCATACTTTCCTTCACCTTCCCCTTCAAAAAGAAAAGCTAGCTAGCTATTATCCCAAAATGCTAATAAAATGCCAGATTACTAGCAGTGACTTGTTATTCTTCTGGAATATTACGCATGTACACACAGGTACACCCCTTCAAAAGACCAGGAAACAACACTGCGATACATCCTAATCCACTTTATTAGTCTAAATACGATGCAATCACTCCAAGTGGTTTGGCCGCCTCCTGCAAAGGCAGGAGGAGACTGCCAGAACGTGTTCTCTGTAAAAACAAACCTTCATTTAGGGCAATCTTAGTGGATGCCATCCAGCTTGTCCATATTCATCTGTTCTCATCGGTCACCCTAAAGCTGCCACTTATTAATGTTTTCTGTTAAATTCCAAAGACTCTGCTGGCAGGAACACCAACCTTGCTAGCCACACTTTGTAATGTGTCATTTAAATACCTTGCTGCTAACAAGTCTCCGCAGCACAAAACAACGTAGCCTGTAGATCTCAATGGATGGTGAGCCAAATTGCATGGCTCTGACAACCTGCTTAAAACAGTCCCTGTGCTAGACAGTACACTGTCGAACCAAGGAGCCAATGCTTAACAGGAACACAGAAGGACAAATGAGAAAGCGTATGTAACAAACACGTTTAGTTATTCTTCTTAGCTGCTCTTACAGAACAACTCTAGATAAAATATGAATAGCGCAATCCCATTTTACTGCCATCATGCAGTACAGAACGGGTTTTTTAGGTGAAGAAAATAAAATAATAGTAAGGGCTGTAACTCCGGGTTTAATACATCCATCTGGAAGCACATGTGAGCACCATGAAAAAAGAACTAGACAGTCCAGATACAAGCTCACTCTCTTATCCTCTTGGCAGAAGACCTTCGACATAGTCTGTTCATGTCCACAGCTGATGGCCAGCTCTAGTCAGTGTCAGAATAGACGAGGAAGCTGTGTTACAGCCAGCTGTGAAACCACTACAGTGAAACTGCCTTTGGCCATCAGAACACACACAACAATGCACACTGCCTTGGTGGCTTCACTGCAGTATCCCCAATCTTGACAAGTACAATTCCATTTATACCTTCACCAAAAGCAACAGCAAAGGCCCTTAGAGCTATTAGGGCATTGGATAGGATCAATCTGTAGCAGTAAGTTTCCATGAAGGACTCCAACACTCTATTTTAGGTACCCGTGATTGCATATGGCTCCTAGCCGGGGGTCATCTGCAGTGGGAATTCTCTTCAGAGGGAAAAGCTTCACAGAAATAACCCCAGTTCTGAGTGGAAGGCTTGAGTCCATTCACAAACACTGCAGGGTGTGTATATATGTAATTTCATCTTGATTAAACATGACATATCTATAGTATAAAAACCAACTCCAGCTACTAGTACCTTCTCTTCTAAACTAAGGAATCCTAACTGCAAAGAGAGTGCAAAGTTTAAGATTCTAAAAGAAAGAAAAAATTTAACAATCATAAATACAATTATGCTTTCTTCTAGATATGTCTACAGGATTTTCATGGATAAACCAAGGGTTCCTTTCAAGTTCAGCACAAGCAGTTTCCCATTTAGAGATAGCAGGAGGCACTTCTGATACTAAATCAAGGTAAATAAAGTTTTATTCAAGGATAGTGATACATGCTGGTGGTACTTTCAGTAACCTCCCTGTTTCATACAGTTTACATGCAGGAAATGAGATGTTTTCTATTATGGTTGATTTTTGATTGTGAAAAAGTCTCTTATTGTCTGTCTTGATAATTACATTTGAAAGGTCAAATCAACATGCTTTGAATTTTGAACATACTAGCTATTTTGTAGCTGTTTCAAAAGAACAGAGTAACTTCCAAGCCATTATTACAAGGACAGAGTTTTCCTGATTAACCTTAAATTCTTGCCTGGGCACGGACTACAAATAGGGAATTACATGTGGAAAAAAGCCTGTGATACCTCCGAAAAATACAAAAGAATGTTTGGTGTCTAAACACACTACTGCTTAAGCTCTCATGAAAGAAGTTTAGTCGGCACAGTCTAATCATAATTTTAAATTGAAAACCAACCAACCAAATGAAAAACCACCACCGCTACCAGAAAACAAATCCAAAAAGGCCACACCTCAACAACTATGCTTTGCTTGGAGGTTACCTGTACCTTAAAAAACTGGAAGGAGAGATTATTCTGGAAGAGGTTCTTTCTCATGGCATTTAATAGCTTAATTTCATTTTGCAGACAGTTCTGTGTATTGACAAAACTTGATTTATTCTTGTTTAAGTTTTCTTTGGCTTGAACAATTCTTCTAGTTGGTTATGAGAAAGAAAAAAGCCACCCAGTAATCTTTTTTATTTGACTTTGCAATATTTTAGGCATTTTCATGGCAACAACTATTAGCTGTGTTTAATGTAAAGCTGTTGGAAATTTCCTTGATGGTAGCAAATTTTTAACTAAAGGAAAAGCTGAGCCAAAAAGAAAAAAAGAAAGAAAGAAAGAAAAGCCAAAAAGAAAGCTTAAAACTTCATGAGAAATCCTCTAAACCTCGCCATTTCTGTTGTTTTGATAGCGAGAATCCAGGGTTGTGTCTGGATGCTGAAGTGGCCTTAGCAACTGGGCAGTTTCTTGCCCCTAGCAGTCAACAGTCCAGCAGTGCAACATCACGCTACTCCGAATCACGGGGAGAAACTCCATGCTCATTCAATGATGAAGACGAAGAAGATGAAGATGAGGATTCTTCTGCCCCAGAATAAGGACAGTAGAAAACAGAACATACAAAATGCTGCTCAAGAATATTCTTAATGGGAGCTCCTGTTTGGATTTTACTTAAGTTTCTTGCCTTGGTTTGCACTGTGTTTGGTGAAGCACAATGGAAGCTTCCAAACAAATTCATCCACAGCTGAAATTGAAAACTTTTTGTAACTGAACAGTGCAGTGACATGCAGACACAGAGCAAAGTGGTTTTTATCAACTATAACCAAGGAAAAGAACCAAGTCCCTGGAGATCTGGAAAAGTAAACATCAAGTTCACATTTTCCTTTTTGGGACATTCTGTCTCAGGTCTCTGTCTTCCCTTTATCTTTACCAGATGGAGAAGAAAACAGAGTCGGTCAACAAACAAACGCCAATTCTTGCATTGTCTTTTGGCTGTGCTACCTTTAGAAAAAGTGGGGGAGAAAGCACGCGCAAATGCGCTAAAATAGCTATTTAAAACTATCTACTTATACGAAAATTGTTCTAGGGAAAAGGGGCTGTTAGAATGTTTGCTTTTTTCTGTTCAACTTGCTGTATAGAAGATTCTTAAAGTAATATAAATTGCAAGTGATTAAATGAATCTTGAAACAGTTTAAATCCATTTTAGATACTCTAAAAGTAACATTAGTATGCCTCTTTTGAAAGGTTCATATGTTCATTTATACTGCAGACCTAATTTATTATTACTAAGTGATTATTCTTAGCCATTATTAAACAGTCAGGATAAAACCAGCAGTATTCTCTGCACCAGCTTTTTTCAAGGAATAGAAGTTTAAGAATTGTATTTCTAGATTATAGCGTATTCAGTATAGCTTCTCCTTTACTGTTCTAACTTTGTAACTCCCTTGATTTTATAGCATGTGTTGGTTTTTTTTTAAAAAAGGCCTCTGTTAAAGATCTCAGGCAGCACGTTTTCACGGCAGTATTTTCAAATTCAGGGTGGGTAGGTCATGTAACTTTTAAAGTCATAGGTTGAGGTTCTTAGGAAAAAACAATTTCAACAATACATCATTTCGTGTTTTGCATTCTAATCAGCTTGGATTATGGTAGACTCACTTTCTTAAAATTAACTTGTGTTGCACTCACCTTGGTACGCCTTTGAAAACAATAGCATCAAGCCACTTCTTAAAATAATTTGTGGCTATAGGTACACAATACAAATCCCATTTGAACTGTTAAATTAAGACTTGCAACAGGAGGCTCCATGTTCCATAGTTAACATCACATCGAATTATAAAGACCTTTTTAAAAAAAAAACTTGAATAACAGAGCAACACACACTGTAGATGTACTCTTCCTATGGTGTTCTAACAGCCAGTATTTTAACTAGTCTTGAAGTTGACTATTTTTAATTAGGTAAATCCAGTTTAAAATGGTGTTCCTTCTTTTTAGTTTTTGTACTGTATGTAAATAGCTGACCTGTTTCTAAGCACCAGTGCATTAGCTGTCAGAGCTCGGTGACGTTGGCTCCGTTATTCAGCTACAAGATCAGGCAGCTTGTAATACTGTTATTTGCTTGAGCAATGGCTGCCGTGGCCATTACTCCAGCACAGTGTAGCGTGTGACCACATCATTTTACAGACAAACCTGCGCTCAAGCCAACCAGATCCAAAAGCACCAAGCCTGAGCCAGTGAGATACACTGAGGCTCCAGCTAAAAAGCTGCCTGGCTGTAGTACAGGAGGTAGCTCATGACTAGCTACACCCAGGACAGGAAGAACTGCGAGGAGCATACACGCACACCTGCATGTTTGCATTAAAAATTTAGAAACTTTTCACAGATAGTTCCAACTCCTGCATTTGAGGTACAGTTAAGGCAGCACCATTCTTTAGGTGCAGCTCTTGACTGAGCAAGTAGAGCTATCTTGCTTACATAAATGAGTTGCAAATGCACAAATTAAAAGAATTCTTATATGCCTACCATGTTATTCACCCTCTGGGCAAGACTGTTAGGACTGTCCTGTGCTTATGGCTCACAAGCAACAGCAGACTGAGGGATTTACACCACCTCACGTCAACCAAATCTATAACACTACCTCTCCATGAAGAAAAGCTTTACAAATACAAAATAATATTCTTGCAGGAGAGTCAGTGCACTTGACTGAAGTGGCTCACTTCTGAAATAAGAGGAGGAGAAGGTAACAGATACTCCAGGCTTATTACTATAGAATTGTCAGCTTCATGAATTACATTTCATTTAAACAGGTAATTACTCTTATACTTAAAAACCCATTGTTTTTTCAAAAACTGTCCTGTCATTCAGCTTTCTTTGGAGAGGGCAGATCAAAGATACCTGATACATGCAGGATCCTCAGGAAGTCTTAAAGAAGGGAACATTTTCTGAAGTTATTATTCCCCTCTTCCTCCATTAGGGGCACATTTAACTTTACACTTTCTCCACCTTTCCCACTCAAGATCTGTGTAAAAACTAAAACCAGCAAAATACTGAACAATGCTGACGTGGAGCACTTTGAACTATAAGAACCTGGCAAAAAAAGGCTTCCTGCCCAGAAATGGAATGTATTTTATTAATAGTCAGCGTGCTTTCTGCTTTACAAGAGGAAGATCTCCAGTGGTATCTTCCCTCCACTCATATCCATGCCTTCAAACCAGCAGACTGCACAACTGCTTTCTGGCAAACTTCAAGCTTTCAACTTTCTCTAAAAAAAATAGAAAAAAAAAATCCAGGGGCACATAACATTTCTTTAGACAGATCAACTAAGACTTTAAAAGTTATTTTTCCTAAACTAGTTGAATACAAAGGACAAAACAAGTTAGAACATTTAGAAGAGACTTCAAAAGGAAATTCTTTCCTTGGAATTCTTTGTGCCAAGTTCCAGTTGAGGATGAAGTTCAACTAAAGCACTGCGGTCTTGTGGTTACACTAAAGTCTGGGAACTAGGAGAATTTTGGGCCTTATCCAGCCATAGTCACTAGTGTATGATCCCAGGCAAGCTTTTCAATCATCCTTGTTGATCTTAGCTGACATATTTAAAAAAAACAAACACAAAAAACCCCAGAATAACACAGGTAAATGCAGAACCTCGCAAAATGCAGCTGTGAGCAGTTATGGATAACAAGGGGACTGAGAATATTAAGCAACCGCACAGCTCCCACTAAACTAATGGCAGTAGTTGTGCTCAGTTGCTTCAACGCACAGGCCTTCCTGCCCTCTGAAAGCCAGCAGCAGATATTTTCCAGAATAAAATGGTCATTAACAAGACTGGTTTTCCCATTTTCTACTCGGTTACCATCATCCTCTCCTGTCTCATGCAATATCCTTGACATTTGTTGATATGAAACAAGTAGCAACTGGTACTAGATGGTATCTCTAATAAGACAAAGTTCACATTTAAATTTTCACGTGACATATTTCTGTGACTTGGAACGCTATTTCATGGTTACACATTCAGAAGACACTTGGCTCAAGCAATATAATGCTGTGTAAATGCTTTTATATATATTGCAGTAAACAGCTTTATGGTGCTTGAAAAATCTAAATTTGACCTACAAAAACTTGTCAGCACCACAAACTAAATATGAGTGGGAGACAGCATTTTTCTGTTATGTGGAAATCTGACATAATGTTTGTGGATTTTAGTTTTACAAAATCCTATTAAGTTGTGCCAGTCTTCTCATTTCAACACTGGAATTAATGGCAACAATCCACCTAATCTAAGAAAGTCTGTATATTTAAGTAAAGACTAAAGCAAACTATACCAGTTTAACTGAAGGTATGATTCTAACTAACTTCATTAAAGCTAGTACAAGCCACACTGTAGGTATTTCCATTTTGGTTAAGGTTTTTGTTTATTTTTTTTTAAACTATAGCTTGCAAATACTCCTAATCCTTTTGAGCTCCTGGAAATTGCTGAGTACACAGAATACCCGCAGAAGGACTTGTGCTGATCAACTGAGTAAGCCTGAAGTAACATGTAAAAAGGCCTAATAACCAAATATTTTTTTTTTCTTAAGAAAAACAAAACCCTCAAGTTCATACATAAAATGATGGTAGAATTTAGAATTCCACAGTTAAGGTTTTAAATGTCAAGTGGTTTTTCTTCTGGCTACATCCACCATTTTAATTCAAGAGCATGGCTGAAACTTAATCACATTTGAACACCAGGCAGTACTAATTTCTGTAATTAACTGATTCTTTTCAGCTGAAAATAATCCAGAGAGCTTATCAAGACAACTTTCCTTTTAGTGAGTTAAAGATATTTGGGTTTTTGATTCCTTTAAAAACAAAGATAGTAACCACAGGGTATAGTATATAGTAAACAAACAAAAAAAGTTATCTTCTGACTGACCCACCGAATTTGTGTCTTTTCATTACAAGAGTCTCTCAGGAACATAAGTATTTTAAATAAGATATCATGGAGCTAGGAAAAGACTACATGAGCTTTTTTAAATTTTTATTAAAAAAAAAATCTAGTAATAGTCATACTTTGAGGTGACATCCTTCTGCTTACTACAAGCTTAATTGATTTTAAAGAAAGAAATGCTGTAGGCGAGTTACTGCAAGGCATACTTTATGGCAGAAGGCGTCTCAGTGCCTATTGCAGCATTACCGATGAACACGAGGAGGAGGCTAAGGACTGTTGGTATGCTTATTCAGTTTCTCTCTTTTTAAATATGCCACTTCTTGAATTCTGACCTATGACTAGAAGTAATATGCCAATAAATCATTTGTAATTTCTCATTATCACACACCTGCCCATGCAAGCATGTTAACAGCTCTAAATAATTTTCTGCTGGCAGGTGTTCACATAACCAAATCCTGATACCATGAACCTTCTGGAACGCTCATTCCTTAGCCTTTACCAAGTTCCCAAATCAGATTATCTCTTTCCTATTTAGCTGTTAGAATTTAGTCTGGTGAATATTTCTAAGATGTTGTGAGCAACTCTTTTCCCCTGGACTCAGGTGTACTGCCAAAAAAATCCTCACAACCAATGTTAACTCCCAGTTGTTCATTCCCTCTGCTAAGTATTACCATCCTTTCACGTCCCTGTAGAGCTGCTTGTACAAGTACTTGCTAGCTCGTTCAATCTAATTACCTGAGTTGGCATCCATGGATACCTAACCCAGCTGGAACTGGTGGGGGAATGCTCATAAAAGCAGTCTGATAGTAAGTAATGATTGAAGGGGCTGTTTATCGCAGCTGTTGAGAGAGAGCGTATTCATTCTGCATCTTTAATACTCCTACCTACCTTGTCTGGCCTACCCCAAAGATCAGCCAAAACCCAAACTGTTTTCTTTCTGCTTACGTCTTTTTGACATTACCCAAGAATCCAACATTTAGGATACCCACCTAAGCCGCAGGACACCAAAACTCC